TGCTCTCAATTAATCTAAAATAAAACATTAGCTTCATTCCTCGGTGCTCTCAATTAATCTAAAATAAAACATTAGCTTCATTCCCGGGTGCTCTCAATTAATCTAAAATAAAACATTAACTACATTCCTGGGTGCTCTTAATTAATCTAAAATAAAACATTAGCTTCATTCCTGGGTGCTCTCAATTAATCTAAAATAAAACATTAACTACATTCCTGGGTGCTCTTAATTAGTATAAAATAAAACATTAACTACATTCCTCGGTGCTCTCAATTAATATAAAATAAAACATTAACTACATTCCTTGGTGCTCTCAATTAATCTAAAATAAAACATTAGCTTCATTCCTCGGTGCTCTCAATTAATCTAAAATAAAACATTAGCTTCATTCCTGGGTGCTCTCAATTCATCTAAAATAAAACATTAGCTACATTCCTGGGTGCTCTCAATTAATCTAAAATAAAACATTAACTACATTCCTGGGTGCTCTCAATTAATCTAAAATAAAACATTAACTACATTCCTGGGTGCTCTCAATTAATCTAAAATAAAACATTAACTACATTCCTCGGTGCTCTCAATTAATATAAAATAAAACATTAGCTTCATTCCTGGGTGCTCTCAATTAATATAAAATAAAACATTAACTACATTCCTGGGTGCTCTCAATTAATCTAAAATAAAACATTAACTACATTCTTCGGTACTCTCAATTAATCTAAAATTAATTTAATTAATTAATTAATTAAAATTAATCAAAAGGAGAAAATTCCACAATATTTTGATCTATAATAAACCATCGACATTCTTGAATCCAATTTTTTTAAATAATTCAAATCCACCATTTTGTTAGGCCCACATTTTGTTCTAATATAATCCGTGACTTCAATCTATTAATGAACTTACGTAATAATTTATCTTTATTTGTTTTAAAATACAGAACATGTTGATTTTTTTTGTATCTTGCACCAATAACTGTATATAATACTCTTTCCTAAAATAATGACGAAATTACATACCTCAATTAATTATTTTAACTTTTATAAGAACATAAATACCAATAATTGTACAATTCACATGTTCTTCCCAAAATTGCTGAACATAACTTAAAAATCATATCTAATAAAAGCTCATTTGCAATAAACCTAAAATACATATGTCAATTGTTACCTGTCATAGTATTACAACACACCTAAAATACGTGTGTCCATTGTTACCTGTCATAGTATTACAACACAACTAAAATACATGTGTCAATTATTACCTGTCATAGTATTACAACACAACTAAAATACATGTGTCAATTATTACCTGTCATAGTATTACAACACACCTAGAATACATGTGTCAATTGTTACCTGTCATAGTATTACAATACACCTAAAATACATGTGTCAATTATTACCTTTCATAGTATTACAATACACCTAAAACACATGTGTCAATTGTTACCTGTCATAGTATTACAACACACCTAGAATACATATGTCAATTGTTACCTATCATAGTATTACAACACACCTAGAATACATGTGTCAATTGTTACCTGTCATAGTATTACAACACAACTAAAATACATGTGTCAATTATTACCTGTCATAGTATTACAACATACCTAGAATACATGTGTCAATTGTTACCTGTCATAGTATTACAACACACCTAAAACACATTGTTGTAGGCATAACGTTTTTCGGCCTGGCTTCTATATATTGTTTTCTATATGAGAATGATAGTCATTCAAAAAATTAGTTTATTTTCTTTTTACCAGATAGATAGAAGAGCTTTTTGGATAAAAAAAAAAGAAATCTCCTGATGTGACAAATTTCACACTATTCTTTTCTTACTTATGTATCGTAATTTATTTATTTTTAGAAATTAGTATGCAGTAATTAATCAATTTTACTTTAAGATAATAAAAGATGCAACGGTTTGCTACTTTAGTAAAATAAACAACCAATTATAAACATCCCTGAACAGAATAAATTTGGAGATTCGATTTTCATTTTTACTTACGGTCTTTTCCTTTATTCTTCTACCAGCTGTCAGTTTCCTATTTGACTAGCAAGCACTTAATTTGAAATGTAGATGGTGTAATTATAAAAATTGTTTGAATCCATCCCTAAAGACAAGATCAGATCAGGAAGGTCAACTTTCGTTGTTTGCATGAGCTTCCTAGTTGATAATTCATGTGTTATTAGAAAATATACTTGAATAAAATTGATTCTTCATAATACGATTTTCGTAGAAATCAGGCTACAGAAGTTTGTAAGCTCTAAACAAGAGTTCGTAGAAAACAAAATTTGTGTAAGTTAAAACACATGTATAACTAAAACAACTTTCTATTCCATCATCACAAAATAAATACAAATTCAGAAATACTTATAACCTAGTAATTTCGTATATGCCAGTAATTTTAATTCTCTATGTATAAACCAGTAACACAAGTCCTATCGACACAACTCAGTAGTTTAAACCCTCTGCTTATAACTCATACATTTAAACCATCTTTTTATAATCCAGTAACTTAAATCCTCATTTTGTAACCCAGTAATTTAAAACATCTACTTGTAACCCATAAGTTCAAACCCTCTATGTATAATCCAGTAAGTTAAACTCTCTCTCTCTCTTTAGAACCCAGTAATCTAAATCCTCTAGTTGTAACTCAATAATTTAAATCCTCTAGATGTAACTCAATAATTTAAACCCTCTAGTTGTAACTCAATAATTTAAATCCTCTAGATGTAACTCAATAATTTAAATCCTCTAGTTTTAACTCAATAATTTAAATCCTCTACTTATTATACAATAATTTAAAGGCTTTTCTTTTAATCTAGCAATTTAAATCCTCTTCTTATAATCAAGCAATCTAAATCCTCTATTGCAACCCAGTAATCGAAACTCTCTTCATATAACAGAATGATTTAAACCTTTTAGTTTTAATCAAGTAATTCAAACGCTCTACTCATATTTCAGTAAATTCAATTCTTCGTTTAATAAGTACAAAATATAAGAGAGTTGTAGGCCTTGTTCTAGCACGGAATATTGAAGGTGAACTAAGCGTTATGACACAAGTTATGTTTAAATTCATCAGAACTGAAAGGCTGTTATTGGTGCTTCGAATAATCGGAATAGAAAATATATTATTTATTTAGAAAATTATTGGTTAGTTGGTTCATAAAGCTTTTTATTATACTTCTTTATATGATTTTAGTGCTGTTGTAAAGATCGGTGTTATATCTAGTGAAAATGTTATCTATATGCTAAAAGTAGCTGAAGATAATAAGTTTTGTTTGGTATCTAGTGATCCATCGTTGCGTGAATTAACTTTTTTCAGTTAAGACATTCCGTTCTGTCAATAATACATGCCTGCGATGGTTTTATTGTCTTCAAATTTTTGCATGTTCTACAGTAATTCCTGTACGCTGAATCCGAAAATGATATCCATTTTCTCCATCATGTACAGATTTTTCACAAAACGTCATATGTACTTTTACACAAGTGAATCATTTTCAATGAAATCGGGTCACATTTTGTTATGCTTGAAATGTTGATAACCACTGGCTATTGATTTCTCTAGACCAATCGCGACGTGAGCGTTTTAGCGATCGTTCTAGAACACAAACATAATAATAAAAAATATTCTTTGTGGTAAACGAAATAATAATTTGATATGAGTAAGAGTCTTTATTATTCCCAGTTTGTAAAGAATCCTTATGTGATAGAGAAAAAAATAAATATATTTTCGAAATCTGCATAGCTGAATTATTGAAAATCTATTATTAAAACCAAAACAACTTTATAAAATATAAATTCGCAGGCCTGTGTAATCAGTAAGCCATATAATAAGATGTAATCAAAAACGCGAATTTTTACATTCGCAATTTTACCTTTGACCAAAAGAGATGTGTAATCTAATCATCATTTAGTCCACACTATAATACCG